CATTATCTAATCTCTCCTGACCTAGAAGCACACTACCATAGGATTTATCACAATAGAACATAGGATACTAAAGGACAGAGACAGATCAGATGGTTCCAAAGACAAGTGATGTACACATTAATTCACAACAAAATATTATTAAAATAAGCAATTTTCAAATCAATAATTCAGACTAGAAAATTGAAGAACCACATTAGGGGAGACCATGGGTCAAATACCGAGGAGATAAAGGGGAGAGATTGGCCTGAAATGTTACTCCTATTACTCACGTTCACACACTGGAGCACTGCTATTCCAAAGGCTTTCCATTCCAGCCAAGATGCAATAACTAGCAGAGCTGCCTTTTAATTGAAATCTAAAGAAGAAAATAGTAGTGAATAGTGAGCTGTTTCAGCCAAGAGACCAGTCACTGAGTTCACAATCTAAGGCCCCGCCTCAAATCTCAGGATTTTGAGGACCTGAGGCCAGCAGGTGGCAGAGTTGCAGAGACTACATTATTCTGGAAAAATAACGGCATCCAGAAGGGAGCAATATAGAATGGCAAAATACAGGAGCTTGGTCACATGATAGTCCTGCTTGAATTGAAGAAGGTGGTCACGACATAGCCGCCATCCCCTTGACCCTGGACCCAGGCTTGGAGTTTCACAGATTACTCCATGATAACCTGATAAATCACTCATTGTCATTATTAGAAACCTAGTCCTTAATGCAACGCCTTCCTGACTCTGACCCGGAAACAGCAAGTAAAGCAGCTTCCAGTTTGGACTGGAAAAGTGCGAAAGAGTTGGCGAGAGAACAGAAATTGTCCTTTTGTCTCCACGTCTGTGATGGCATGAAGAAGGCTCACAACAGCAGTTTGAGCTGCTGAAGAGTAAATGTGAATATTCTAGGGGAAAAAGGAAAGAAGAGAGGACATGATTTTTGTATGCTATCATTGAAAATTCTTAATGTCTGTTGGGCCCTGATGCCCTCCTAAATCTTACTGGGTGCCGGCATTTAGAGCCTGCCAAGATTCTGTGGAACATTTTGGGATCAGGTGCTTTGTTACTCATGCTGGTCAGCTCCCACGTAGAGATGCACACCCTGTGAAGACCACTAGATGAACATAAACAAGTTAATGACCTTGCCAGAAATATTAACAGCAGCCATCAGGACCCCATCTCAGAGTCCAAAGCCCATGACTTGCCAGATGACATGTGACTGAAGTTTTAAAAAGTGCTTATTTTTACATGTTCAGTCCTATTACAAATTTTAATACTGATGGTTTAAACAATTTACTGAAATGATGCTTTATCTTAATTAATTAATTAATTTTTGTCTTTGGAATGGAGTCTTGCCCTGTCCCCCAGGCTGGAGTGCAGTGGCATGATCTCGGCTCACTGCAACCTCCGCCTCCCTGGTTCAAGCGATTCTCCTACCTCGGCCTCCCAAGTAGGTGGGATTACAGGCACCTGCCACCAAGCCTGCTAATTCATTTTCTATATTTAGTAGAGACGGGGTTTCATCATGTTAGCCAGGCTGGCCTTGAATGCCTGACCTCAGGTGATTCACCACCTCGGCCTCCCAAAGTGCTGGGATTACAGGCGTTAGCCACCGTGCGTGGCTGAAATGATTCTTAAATGATCCTAGCTTTTTAAAATATGCTTTTTGTTACTTAACATTTTTTTTCTGAGACTCTCTAAATTACTCATATTCCTTAATGTGTTACCTATATATTCATAAGCAGCAGTTATATTTGCCTTTGAACTTGCCAGATGTATGGCCCAGTTTCCTCTTCATATCTCATGTAATTAGTTCTATATGTTTATCTCCTTTCTTCCTATATATACTTTCAAAAGTTCATCTCTCTGTGTGTGTATGTGTCCATCTTTTAAGCCACAACAAATCTCCCCTTTTTGGACTAATTCCCAACCGCAATTTTAATGTCCAGCAGGTCAGGCAAGCTCATACTCACCCTTCATTACAAACAAAGTCCACTTTTGCTCCAAGCTGGAGATTAGGTGGAAGCAGAACACGGCCATTAGGAAGTTGGTCCAGGGAGTCATCGCAGGATTTCACTGGAGAAAAAGAAAAACAAACAGAAATAACTGGCTTGTGGAGAATAAAGACACAAGCTAAAAATATCAAGCCAGGCAAGAGTCTAGGCACCTTCACATCTGGGGACTGCAGGGCTCCAGTCTCCCTGGGGTGTGCAGCGCAGAGAAGCAGCCCCTCTGAGATCATAGCCGGGCTCACAGCTGTACAACACTTCCTGGCCAGGCCAAAAGTTGTCCTTGTCCCTTTGGGTATGCTCACCATGCAGGATATCTGGAGGTGGCTGACATACTGGGGGAGAGAGAAACAAAGTACTGCTAATTGTGTCAAAATAACTTTTTCTTCACACCGATAAACTGGCCAAGGGAATAATAATTATAAATCTATATGCAATAAAAAGGTACAATAAAAGCCTTGTTATATTGATAACAAACTAAAACAGAGCGAGGAAGATGTCTTGCCATCAGTCACAGAACTGACGCTTGCAGAACTGTGACTAAAATGGAGATACCCCCAAGTCATTGTTTTTCATCTGAAGTATGCACCTTAGATTTCATGATGGACAGTCCCTTCTAGAATGCTTCCAATTACTGTTCACCTAGTACAAAATTGGGAGGTATGAAGGATTTTTATATCTTCACACTTCCTTTCTACAAAGGCATCATCAATGTACAGTCTTGCATTTTAGGCAATAAAGCAGTGCCCATGCGCATGTCTCATGTAATAGGTCCCTCCATCACCTATCAAAATGGTGCAAGATATGACGTCCATGCACCTTTTTCTCATCTGCTTTCCCATCCTCCCTCAGTGGCCACCTGACATAGGGTGGTAGAGAACGATGGGTCTCCTCTCTTCATGCTGTGTAGCAAGATGCTGCCTAGTCATTCATTTCACTCCAGTAAGAAGGTGGGCGATTGTTGAACAAAATCTAAAAGACCTACTGTCAGTGTAATGAGAATGTATATTTCACACAACTTATGGTAATGGCATCTCTGGCTGTCTCTTAATATAGTTGGTCTGAACTCAGGAAGTCAGAACACATTTGGGTCTCAACTAAGTTATGTAAAACTGTTATAAAATGAAAAAAAATAATTTCAGCTTGGCTTTGAGTAGATCAGTTCCCTTTTCTGGACTTCAGCTTTCTCAAGCATCAAATGGAGGAGGATTGGACTAGAAAAATGACTTCTTTAAGGAGTTGCTAAATACTCTGATGCTGTAATGTCAGTTTTCAGGGCTCATCACCCAGTGCTTCCCTTGACTACTCAATGCCTGGTGATGTAATATTGAGGCGATGTGCTGGTTAAATTTATATCGGTCCCTGGCCTCACACTTCTACACTGTCTTTTGACTGCCAGCAATGGAGGCCTTAAAACTACAATCCTTTGTCTCCCTTGATAGGTGGGCTCTGGTTAGGTTCTGTCAATTGGAGGCATATATGCCAAATAACAAGGCAGGATGGTGGCAGAATCCGTTCTACTTCTAGAGGTGGCTCAGGCAGTGACAGTATAGATGGCTGCGGTGAGCAGCCACAGCTTCAGTTCTAGTAACGACAATGACTTTTGCTCCAGCAATATCAGCTGCATTCTGGCAGCAGTGGTGGCTCCTGCAGCATTAGCAGCTTTCAGGAAGACACCTGCTCAGTGGCAGGAACTGACCATTTCAGCATCAGTACAGGCTCCTGTGCTTTAGACTGGAAGCCACAGTAGCTCCCTGATCTCTGGCAACTCTACCTTGTTCCTATTGCTTTTCCTGCCCTTCTAACATCTTTCTGACCTATTAGCTGTGATATGGTTTGGTTCTGTGTCGCCTCCCAAATCTCATGTCAAATTGTAATTCCCATTGTTGGAGGAGGAGCCTGGTGGGAAGTGCCTGGATCATGGAGGTGGTTTCTAATGGTTTAGCATCATCACCCTAGTGCTGTCTTGTGATAGAGTTCTATTGATATCTGCTTGTTTAAAAGTGTACAACACCTCCCCATTTGCTCTCTCTCTCTCTCCTGCCAGCCAATGAAGATATGCCTGCTTCCCTTTTGCCTTCTACCATGACTATAAGTTTCCTGAGGGGTCCCCAGCCATGCCTCCTGTACAATCTGCAGAACTGTGAGTCAATTAAACCTCTTTTGTTTATAAATTACCTAGTCTCAGGTAGTTCTTTATAGCAATGTGAGAACAGACTAATACCACCTGCATGAAATCCCTCACTCCTTGAAAGTATCTAGGGTAAGTTTTGATTTCCTGACTGGATGCTGATTAGCAAAGCCAAGGCTCTGGAGTCAGGCGGACTTGCATTCCAGTCTTGTCTGCAAGTTAGAATCTTAGAAAGTTATCAAATCTCTTTAAGGCACATATTCTTTGCAGAACATAGAGGCCGGGCATGGTGGCTCATGCCTATAGTATCAGCACATTGGGAGGGCAAATTGGGTGGATTGCTTCAGTTCGGCAGTTTGAGACCAGCCTGGGCAACATGGTGAGACTCCGTATCTACCAAAAAAATATAAAAAACGTAGCCAGGTGTGACGCCATGCACCTGTAGTCTCAGCTATTTGGGAGGCTCAGGCAGGAGAATTGCTTGAGCCAGGGAGGTAGAGGTTGCAGTAAGCCATGATTGCACCACTGCCCAACTTGAGTGACAAATCAAGACCTTATCTCGAACAAAACAAAATAGACAAGCATAGAAAAACTGGTAACTACCTAATGACTTTGTTTAAAAATTAAAATTCACACATAGCCTGTATTATGGTATCTGACCAGAAAACTCACTCATTTCCTATAATAATCAGCAATTATTATACTCAAAGGTAATTGATAGATCTGTTTATAAGAACCCCAAAGAAACATCACTTTCCTTGCCCAGATTTAGCTTTGCTTCTCAATTTCAGCACATGTGCATGTACACACACACACACGCATATATACACACATCTTCTGAATTTCATGTTCACTACCTAGAAAATTTGCTCCCCGACCGTGCTCAGGACACATCCGTCCCCCTGAATAAATACTAATCTCCTGATCCAGCAGCAACTCGTGTCATTTGCAGAGCCCTTCTAGGCCTCAGTCAGACTCACCCCTGGAGCAGCTTGGTAACTCCGGCTCCCATTTGTTCAGGGGCTGGCATTGCACACGGGGGGAACCTTTCATGACAAAGCCAGGCTGACACCTGAACTCCACAAATTCATTTAAGGAAAATAAACTTCTGTTGACAGATACCATTATTCCATTTTCAACATTTGGAGGCATGCATTTGTTAGGTATAATGCACTGAGGGGCCGGGCCGCTCCAGACGCCCTCTTGATCCTCATTGCTGGTGCAGTATATGGAGGGCTCACCCACGAGGTCAAACACATTTCTCCCTCTGCTTCCAGGTTTGCAGCGGTAGGTCACCACTGATCCATAGTGAAAATCCTCTGTGCTGGTGCTAATTAAATATCCATTGGTGATGGCGGGGGGTGGCCCACAAGGAATTCCTGGGGAAAGAAAGAGCAGGTTAAATAACAGTGCATTTAAATAATGAATGGCAAAAATCTCATGAGCCACTAAACTGTAAGTATTTTTACATTCATTATTTGCTTTTAATCTTTACTAACACATAGGTAAATGTTTACAAGTTGTAACTTCAGTGAGTATAATATCATGTGTCCTGCCTGTCTTACTTATATGATTTTCTGTAACATTTGCATGCATTTATTAACTCAATCCACATTCTTTTCATTTTAAATAGCCCTTTGATTATAGGATTATAGAGTTTATTCAGTTTTTTCCTGCTCTTTTTCATTTGCTTTCTTAATTTCCATTTTTGTTATTGAGGTTAGCTTTTTAAAAAATAATACAATACAAAAACATTTACTAATAGATAAAGTATAAGGGATGAGAGTAAACACAAATATATATAGTAGGAAAAAGAATTTAAACAAATTTTTATGTATGTGACAATATTTATAAAACTGTAGACGATTGGGGGTTAAATATTTTGAAAATCTAAATCGTAGAAATGGAAATATAAACTACTAAAATTCATTCAAAAAGATATAGAAAGTTAGAATTGACCAAGAAACATGTAAGAATGGAAAAAAATCAAAGATACATTCTATCAAACTTTCAAGTGACAGTTATTTCCAAATATAATTTCAAGATTTCACAACATATAAAAGATATAAAGCTTACCAACTCATTTCATCAAATCTAAGTTTGGTATCATTACATGATATCTGTGTAAAAGTTACCAACTATTAGTCCACAAAAGCCCCCAAATGCATTAAAAATGTAGCAGTAATACATCGTATAGTGTATTGCTATAAACCAGAATTAAATTATTTCAGTCCAAATCCCAAAACATTTGAAATTAAAAATGAGTGAATTTAATTGAATACATTTTTAAATGAATGAATTCATTAAAATTAAAAAGAAAAATTTTTCAGGCTCTACGTCTAGTAATAGTAATCTCAACAATTCAAATCAAATATTGCTCCAACCGTCCATCCTCAAGAAAGGCTAAAAATACTGGAGAATTAAATATATGTATACATTTAAGACATCAAAGAGCTAACCAGTGAAGCATTCCTGGAAGATTATCTAGGAGAAGATGAAAATCCAATTGAGAGCTGGGTATTTGTGCAGGGAAACTGGGTTGCTTATTGTTTGGGAATGGGCAGCTGAATCAGGATGGGGCAACTGAGAGGCTGAGCAGACTTTTGATTGCTTCATGAAGTTAAGGGACAAAAATGGAAATCCAAGGCCTGTCCAAAGTGGAAGGAAGGTCTGGTAATACCTTCTGATGTGTCCTGAGGCCACAAGAAAGTAGGCTCTAGTAATCAGGGTTGATTGAAAATAAATCTGCTGTCTCAGAGACAGGAGCTGGTACTACAAGTACTGGTTCTGCGGGTGACACAGGAAAATCACAGATCCTGAGATTGAATTAGAGTGGTCCTAGATTGCTAATGTCCCCAGATGCCTGCAGAAACAATGACAAAAATTCTCTCCAGAACAACATAGGTCATCTAAGGTTTTGAAATTATTTCTACAGACACATTTTCAAATATAATTTCTGATACACAATCAAAGATAACCAGATACTTGGAGATAAGATAACACACAATTACTGATGACAGAAACTGACCCATTAGAACTACAGACCTGTTCAAGGATATAATTGAAACTTGTAAGAACTAGAAACTATAAAGAGAACAGGCCGGGGGTGGTGGCTCATGTCTGTAATCCTAACACTTTGGGAAGCTGAGGTGAATGGATCGCTTGAGCTCAGGAGTTCGAGACCAGCCTGGGCAACATGGCGAAACCCCGTCTCTACAAAACAAACAAACAAACAAAAAACAATTAGCTAGCTGTGCAGGTGTGGTTGTGCACACCTGCATTCCCAGCTACCCAGGAGGCTGAGGTGGGAGAACTGATTGAGCCTGTGAAGGTTGAGGCTGCAGTGAGCTGTGATTGTGCCACTGTGCTCCAACCTGGGCAACAGAGTGAGACCCTGTTTCAATAAATAAATAAATAAATAAAATAACAGGACAGATTTGGAAAATAAAAGTCTGGAATTATAAAAGTAAAATATGATTACTGAAATTAAGAATTTGGGTGGGATTAATAGCAGTTTAGAGTCTGTTAAAGAAAATCAATGAACGGAAGCTAGGACAAAAGAACATACTCAGAACAAAGCACCAATAAATAAAAAGATAAAAAACATAGACTAAAGACATAGAAGAATAAAGCCTAGCATGTTTAAGTTAAGTCCCTCAATGAGAGGAGAGAGATAAGAGAGCATAAACAACATTTGAAGAAGTAATAACTAAAAATTTTCCAAGACCGATGCAAGACATCATTAAATTAGAGATTCAGAAGGCTATACAAGCTGGGTGGGGTGGCTCATATCTGTAATTTAAGCAGTTTAGGAGGCCAAGGTGGGCAGATGACCTGAGGTCAGGGGTTCAAGATCAGCCTAGTCAACATGGTGAAACCCTGCTTCTACTAAAAGTACAAAAATTAGCTGGGTGTACAGGCACAGGCCTGTAATCCCAGCTACTTGGGAGGCTGAGATGGGAGGATAACTTGAATCCAGGAGGTAGAGGTTGCTGTGAGCTGA